ATTACTGCTGCACCATTGAGTTTATAACAGAGGAAAACACAGAGGCCAAACTGTGTCATTTCTGAGAAACTGAATCAGTGCTTCGCGACCGTTTATGCAATGAGGACGCCTTACAGCCCGTTCAGACTTCGCGATCGCGCGACCAAGTCGAGCGACCGGGGACGCTGCACCGCCATCTTTGAATCGCCGTAACAACAGAACTCAATTGGTCGCGTTCTCTGCTCCGTTTTCTTATACTTTTCTATGCACGCGTGCCTTGCGTTTTCTGAAGAACGTACTGGGAAGCGGTGGAACACCCCCGGTCGCGATCCAATCGCGCGATCGCGCTTTTAGAAAGTTTACAGTTCAAGAGCGCTCTCCGATCGTTTACATCGCGCGGTCCGATCAATCGAGCGATCCGAACGTTTGAGTGATCCTAGTGACTGGGTCGCGAAGTATGAAAACTACTAGAAACACATTTACAGGGTTACAAGACAATCTGAACTTTTTCAGGGTGTTGCCAGAGCTTGTAACGCAGACAAAAGAGGACAGCTGACAGCAAAGCGTCAAAAGGCGGGTCAAAGGGATAGGAAGAGAAGGGAACTCCGAGATGAGATAACCACCTATCATGCGTGAACAGCTTGAACGTGTGAGGACACAGCGATCGTAGGACTCGATGTAGAGGAAAGGCTATGAAGAAAAGCAGAAATTTGAAAAGGGGTCAAGTTCACGTTGTAACTTACGTAAATACATCGCTCCAATATTCTTTAACAAAGCTGACAGTACTGAAGGGAATGTGCAGCCTGTCGCAAACGTAGCGAGCATCGAATTCGTCTTTCGTCCGTGAGCAAGCGGCTGATCCTTCCTCCACAGGATCCCAATTGATCTGTAAATTACGGTCATGATAGCTGAGTCATGCCAAATCAATCCAGTCAGGTTTTATTGTCAAGAATGAAGGTAATGTCGTGTTCGCCGCGGATGGTACGACCTCTCAGGGACTGGGTTTGGCGTTTGGCACGGTGTCAGTTGTGGTAGCTGCCTCCTTCCACAGCTGATGCGGAAAGGCTTGGCGTCGCGTTGCCAAAACCAGCCCCCTGAAACGCCCAGCATCCGCAGCGAACAAGACTATGCAACTGTGAAGAGGAAGGAACCTCAGTCCGCAATCGGAGCCCCATATCTATTTGACGATCCCACTCCATTTCTCCAGATCGAAACGGTCGAGCTCACTGAGGTCCCAATACAGATGTAGAAGGAAAGAGAACTAAGAAAGCAGGGAGTCCGATAGTGAGGGGACGAATCACCAAGGTACAGCCTCGTTGTGTGAAGGACATAGTGGGTCGTACTTCTTCTCTTGGGAAAGGGGGTCGTATTTGGTCGTGGAGAGAGATGAGGGGGGAGGCGTATGTTACGCTTTGAGAGGACTTTGCCGCGTTGGGGAAAAGTTTTTCCCGGTTGGTGGCTTTTTTGCGTGATTTTTCCTGCTTCATGTGCACTATATGCCCACCCCCCCCCTCCACCGCCTCGACGGAAACTTTTTGGGTGCAAAAAGTAGAAAATGGGGAAATTTTGTGATGAGGATTGGCTGGGGGGGTCGTAACCCTCTCTCGGAGGGGGGGCGTACCTACACCACTACCTCACACATCACGACGCTGTACCCTGCGTGCCACCTTAAGAACTCCTGCTGCAAACCTTGGCTAGCAGTAATGGAGATGAAGATTTTGCCCAAGTTCTAGCAAAGGATGTCTGGGGCAGAGTCAAGCGAAATCGCTGCAAAATCGTGGGGCGTATTTGGTCCACGTCGGGAGGAGCATGGTCGTATTTGCAGAGGTCAGTATTCAACACAGCAGCAACATAGGTGCAGGATGAGCAACGCGTTCGGAAAGGAGGTCGAGTACATGGCGCATTCCACAGAGGTGTTGATCATCTCTGTCCTGCAGTTCTTGCTCACTACATGGGAAGAGGTGTACGGGAGGCTTATCGAGCTCCTCAGATGGAAATGTGGGCTTTGTGGGGAGTAGATCATCATGATGCAGCTGAAGCTGACTTTCAAAAGCACTCTATTTCTCAATGCTATGTAGATCTCCGTTCTAAGTTATGTCTGGTCGAAGTCATAGCCTTTGAAAACCACGCAAAAAACGCGTTTGCCTAAAATTCTCCGCGTTATTCTGGTAATTTTCCGCGACTGGCGAATTTTCGCTGCAATTGAGCTAATGCTAAGTTGCTAAGCTGACTTAAAGGCAAAGCCCGCGACCACAGATTGTGGGTAACGGAACCCACATAGGAACGAAAAAGGGCTAGGTATCTGATTAGCGGAGAAAAGCAGCAGAAAAACAGCCGAAAATGCCCTAAATAGGATTCCATATCGACCCCAACTTGTACATGCATGCAATGAAGAAAACGCATGTTTGTACGAATTTCCACTCGTCGTTATCATAAAGATATCAGCTCTTTTATCGTATCACCTCACTCTCACCATTCGGAATGGAGAGAGATAGCATAGTGGCTACTAGCTAGTAGCTAGCAGCCGGTGGGGGTCGGCATGGGCCTAAGGGGCGCCCTTGGGCCTAATTGGTTAGCTTGAAGCGGAATTCTTGCGGATTTTCACTTTCTAAAGGTAGCGCAGCCTCCGCAATCTCCTTCCGGATCGTCTGACACATTTGAAAGGTCATAGCCTTATTTTATCGCGGAAAGTGCCTTTAAGGGAGAAAACCTAGTTCTTATACCATCTGGATCTGCGTTCTAGGTTATGTCTGAACGAAGTTATTTCCATTGAAAGGTGAAGAACTCGCGCTTGACCAAGATTCTCCGCGTCAAGACGCCGTCATGCAACCCCAGGGAAAAATGTGGCATCCTTCGCAGAAGAGCCTGGACGTACAACTTGAATCCTTACCGCTCTGCGAAAAATGGTTACTGAATGAGGTTATACACTTTCAGAAATACTGTGAATACCATGGGCTGATAGCGCTCTAATCTCATTACGGCCGCAGAGCGCCCAATCCCTCGGCCTCGTGTTGTTTCGAGTGCACGGCGTCGTTTTAATGTTTTTCGAAGTTTAACTGTGTGCATTACACTATTTCTGAGAACCTGATGTCTTCAGTGGAATGGTTTGGTAAATGTTGTACTCTAACACTTACGGCGCAGTTTGTCGAGGGGCATTTTGCACTTTTGCTACTTCCCATCGACGTGGCGACCCATCTAGACAGCCTCTTCTCTAGTTGACAGGTTTTAACATGATTGCTTGACTACTTGGTAAAATTCGCATTTGTAACACAAACGTATAGTACAGCTAATCAACAGAGCAGATGCCTCCAAACACTCCACAGTCACTAAAGGAGGGGGGGGGGGGTCGTATGGACACCCCCTCTTTGGAGAAGGCGGTTGTACCAACTATCCAATTTTCCGCGACGTGATGCTTGACCCTGCTCTGGGGTGAGTGGTTCAATTCCACGTACGATAAGGTCATTTAAATTACGGCAATCTCGGTTTTGTAGTAGACGCCCCCCCCACCCCACTACCCTGGCGATAATCCTCAGTAGTACACAACAGGCATATAGGGTATGTGTGAGAATATGCCGCCATGTTGATGGACGCGGCGAATGCCCAACAGACGTGTTGTCATGCCTGGCTGTCTGAAATCGAGTGTGAAGGGGTAGAAAATTTTGTTGCCTATTATGGAATCTTGTCTCCGTCCAAATTCATGTGAGTTTCTCTGCTCCAATCGACAGTAATGCGTATCAATTAGATGCCGCGCCCCGCCCCACGGTACACCGCGCGCGGCGCGACAAACCACGATTGTCCTGTCCGTCTCCTACCATCAAAGCAGATATGAGCGGGCTAAGGTACAGCACGCGCAGTAGTAGGCACGAAATGAATAAGAACAGACTGCAACTGTGTCTTCTTCCTCTGAGGCAGCGAAAGAGGATCGCTCAGGCGGAGATGATCACTTGTGCGAAGACTGCTTTTGTCTACGCCCATGCGATCAATGCGGAATGTGCTTTGATAAAAATAACAAAAAACCGACCATGTATACGCCAATGACGTCGAATCCTTTTTTCTTCAGAAGCCATGCAGAAACTGCGCTATCAACACCTCCTGATATGCCAACAGCAACCCGTAGACGATTCATAGAAGAAACCAAAACGAATCGCATACTCTTCTGCCGACTACTATACAAAGATAGGCATAAAACTGTTATATTTTCGAGGGAAACGATTGACAATACTGACTCATTTAACAAACATAGTCAACATTTATATAGCACTAGAAAAAAAAACCCGTATACACAGAGTTTCAAATTATTAACAGGTAATTGTTGAGTAGGGCTAACAACGTAAAACAATCCTAAGAATGACATAAACGATCCACTTCTACCTAGATAACCTAAATCACGACTAATCTTCTAAAAGGCTCGAACAAGCGTCATTTGTTCTCTTTAGCTTCTGCTGCCCCTTTAGCTTCTGCTGCCTTTTTCTTAGCTTCTTCTAAAAACTTCTTGCTCTGCTCGTCCATCTGAAATAAAAGTCTTGGTAACGAAAGAGGTCACGACCGCATACTCTCCCGAAGTGGGAAGCCACTTCAAAGAAAAAAAAGACGAATGAGATAGCATCTCCCAACACGTACACTCCATATACCAAATATAGCGAGATCGTTGTACTTCATTCAGGCATGACGCCAGATGCTGTTTTGGTGGTATATTTCCATCTGAGACAAGTGTTATTCTGTCTTGTGCTACACTGTCCCACAACAGCGATATACAACCTGAAAAGGAGTCGCGGCCACGTTCAAATGAAGTGCGCAGCCACGCCCTCCCCACCAGCGGCATATAGAGTGTACAACTTGAAAGGCGTAGGAAGTGAACAACTTACGAATTCAATATCCTTTAATCGAGAAGCCAGTCGGCTTTTCTCCATCTTCCTTTGTTCAGAAATAGCCTCTTCAAGTTGCTTCTTTTCATTAAGTTCCATCTAGGGAAAATATTTGAGGAAAAACTTGATTTTCACAAAAGCTAGAAGCTACCTTGTCATACTGCTCGAGAGCTTCCTTGTTTCGCTGGAAGATTTTGCGAACACCATCCGTCGTGCCACCCAGTAAAGTCATCTCGTCAGACTTTCCTTGCACATAATCTTGTAATTGTTTCAGATCGCGCTTTGCTACCACCTAAAAGTATTCAGTAGATTGAAGCGTTACGGTTCCGACAAGTTCTCTTTGGTATTTTGGTTTTGGTTAATAGTATCTTGGTTTCGTTCAAGAACCCATTCTCTCCTTGCTTCGTCCATTTTGTCGTGGTATTTCGCACATAAACAGGGTGGTTGGGCTTCTATAACTTACAAGGTTTCTTTGGCAGCGTTCAGACTTTGCGACAATGGCGCTTCGGTGGCGCGTTCGGGCAATCGATCGCGCTAGAGTACGACTGTGTACGCGACTGATTAGATCGCGCTCCAGTGTTAAAATCGACTGGACCGATCTTAATTCACATCCGTATACACTGGCTTCTTACCCTTTCTCCTCTTTTTAGCTTCTAGCTCCCTTTCAGCCTTTTTTACTACTCCTGTCAGTATTTTCCTCAATCCGTTTCTAATGTTTTGTGGGTTGTTATACTTTTTTTGTTTAACAAATTCAAATTTTCCAGTTGGGTGCGCGTGCTTTCTTTATTTCTAGATGAGTTTAACAGGTTAATTGCGGGAGCTAGAAGCTAAAAAGATGGGAAAGAAAGAGTCAGTGCATACGGCTGTGAATTAGCATCGGTCCAGTCAATTTTAGCACTGGAGCGCGATCTAATCAGTGGAGCCACAAAGTCGTACGCTCGCGTGAGCGACGGAGTCCAGCGCGATCGATCGCTCGAACGCGCGACCGAAGCGCCGCCGTCGTGAAGTCTGAATGCCACTATGATTTGTCATGTTGCAGGCTCTTGCATATCCCTTTGCTGTGAAGAAAGCTATTGTTTGTAAAATGTACTCAGCAGCTATTGCGGTTTGAACAGGCGATGCCGAACGAAAATAGTCCCAAGATTGGCATCCGAGATGGCAACGATGAATGATTATGACAGTCAGCACTGCAGATCACGTATACGTGAGCATCCTTATATGAAGAGCGAAATGTGCTATACCTTGAACTACCTATCATATCGGATAAAGTGAGCGCATCTATACAACAGTGTATAGTACGAGCAGACCTATCTAATAACGTCATCCTGATAAATTGCAACGGGTTATTAAACATTGACTGCGACCGCACCAGACTTTATGACCCTACGTGAACCTCGGAAAAGTGCTTCATATGGAACATTAGGGGATTGTGCACAGCGTGAGTTATTTCAAGGTTAATATCAATTGAAATATGCATCTGACCTTTTGGGTATCCTTCCTCACGAACGGCCGGAAGAAGTCCCAAATGTCATCTAGTTTTTCCTGATCAACTCGTGCCACGGCTTTATGTTCTTCGTATACTTTACGTGCTTCCTCCCTAGAATTACGTCTAGTCCTATCCTGGACCATAATGCTTATGGAGGATACACTGTAGACTCACCTTAATTTCGCCGAATTTGGAGCGTCACTTTCATCTTCGATTTCTTGCCGCGCTCGCAACACCTAAAACAAAATTTGCCGTTCTTAGCACGATTCGGCTTGATGGGATATCAATTAGTACTCAGCGACGCTTGTATGTGTATATAGCTGTATAGTTTGAGGAGGCTTCTAATTACAGTAACCAAAGTGGCTCAGTTGTGCCATTTCGCAGCTTCACCAAAGTTTAAAAATTTCACCTGTTAGTTACTCGAATGAGCGAAAGCAGATTGCCCCCTCCTGCTAACCCACAGAGTGCACTTCTTTAAGAAAACAGAATCACACCACTCACCTCAAGCGCCTCCCGGAACATTAACTTGTTTTTTGGTATTTTGTCTTCCTCTGGTTCATAGAACCCATACTCCCACATAGGATCGTTACGATGCATCCACTCAGATTCATGAGTTGGTAAATCTCTGCATAAAAAAACATTGAAAATAAGAGATATCAAATGAAAGCGCCGTTGTTCTTGGGAAACGAACAAAAAACATCTCAGAACAAGCCGAACCGGCCCAACAAACCAGCGCTGCCATACGCCTCGTTACCTCCCCCGACGCATTTTGACGGCACCGGTAACATTACTTCGATGTATGAAACCCAGTTCCAGGAGGAAACAGTTATATAAACGGGAATTTGTGGACCGTTCTAACAAGTGGACAGTCGTTTGAGCGTCGCCCCGCTATTTCAGAACACGGTTAGCTTGCACCTTGTACGGCCCCTTGCCCACTGCAACCAAATTAGTGGGGCTTCAGGTTGACTGGCGCGGTCCTGCCGAATGCCAAAACAAGCGACCCCGCGGAAAAGAAACCTATAGAAACTGATTGTTTTTGAGCTCTAGGAGCTGTCTGATCGCTTGCAACTCTCTCGACCCAGTTGCCTCGATGACGGGACCCTATAACGCGGCAGTGCTATCGATCGCAAGAGAAAAAGTAGGTCTGGTGATATGGGATCTTCTGTGGCCACGTAATCAAGCACGTGAACGGCTTTCACAATGGATGGTCCCTTCTTCAACGATCGGCAGCTGCCAACAGATGAACCCATCAACGATCGGCATGGCCTATCCATGGACTAGCGGAAGGTTCTCAAGCGGACGTCGTGGCCGTGGGCCGCCTTGCTGGTTCAACCCTCCCCTCTCGCAGTGCGAGTGTTTGCCATTTTACTTGTTTTGCCTGTTCTTTGCGTTCGAATTCATGTCTGTGCGTTAAGTATGCATTCCGATACTGCCATTTCATAGCAGAGTTTTCAAATGGCGGCGAACACTCACATTAATCAGTGCTATTCAATTATTTACAGGTTTTATCACATTAAAGCCAAGAACCGTAATTGAAACCGTTCCATCATAGGTCAGACCATCGCCCGAATCCACGAATATGCGAAACTCTATTTGTAGCTACCCGGTACCCAATTTATCACTAATATGGAGTGACTGTTCTCTCTCCACATGACCCATGCGTGGCTCACACAGAAGTCAAGGGCACTCTGTAGCCGCTACCCAGGCGCGAACTTTACGTCCGGCGACCGAAATAAGTGTGAAATAATGGATCGGGGGCCATCGCCCCCCCCCGCCATCAACTTACCCCCTGTAAACATCTTTCGCCAAAAAAAACTTTTCTCCCCGACCTTTTTATGGTGTGTTGGCGTTTGGGTTGTGGCCGAACAGTCTTTCCTCAATAGAAGGTCTACAGCTGCCTATTGGGTAGACTGTGCCGGTTACCCCCTATTTTTATTAATATCCAAAGATAAAAGTAACAATGCCGATGAAATTCATGCAAAGAGGAAGGAAAGGGAGGCATTCCACCAGGTTTGCTGTCCTGCCCGGCGGCCTGCTACGTCGTCGTTCCATCATCGTCTTCACGAAGGTGGGATACTCCGGTCACACTGCCGACCAAATGTCGTCCCCAAAACACAAGAAATCGAAAAAAAAATTTTGGCTGGAAAGTCCGTCCATAAGGGGTAGCTCGATGCCCTGATTCATTTCGACACTTATATTTCGCAGGGTCGACGCAATTTGCCGCCTAATATAGCCGCTTAACATCTCTCACGCGATTGGCGGCTCACAGTAGAGTAACTTTCACTCCTTTTCTCTGGCATTCCAGGAGCCCCCACAGCCAAAAAACGAAGCCCACTTTTACGGTTCATGGGCAATGGTCCTACAAAGTGCAATAAACCGTTTTGAAAAAGCGGGGCACGCCCTGAACGACCTTCCTGGTAAGTTATACGCTGCTGCTTTACTGCCATACTGATGGGATTTTTGGGGAAAAATTTCTTAACTCCAGAATAAAGGGGTGCTAGGAATTATTAAAACCGTGGCACTTGTCTTTTCCTGAAAGCTTTCCATCCTCTGAACCTAATGGTCTTTTCCTAGATCTTATCTATCCGACCATCGGACCCGTGCTTTCAAAAGCGCTACAACTGCTTCAGTGCAAGAATAATGGAGACACCAAACTAGGAGAAGAAACTGAAACATAGTCTCACAATGCCAGGCTTCAAAAATTATGTACTAGGTAATCGTAAACGCGAGGAGGCTCAGCCGGTGATAGTAGCTCTTCCTCGCAATCCTCGACAATCTCGACAACCAATCTTCTATTAAATAGGTTGTGGAGGTTGCAGTAGTTTTACAAGTGAGTTTGCGGTTTCTGGTAGAATATTATCCTAGTCAGGAATGTTGACCCGCCTCTCAGTCTCCACAGTGGTTACGGCTTGTGTTTTGAAAGGTTACAGTGAGGCGACGTCGTATCGTTGAGAAGAAACGTCGCAAAGTAAAACTCCCCCACCAACTTCCTCTTCTTACAGGACCTTTTTATATCTTAACAATCAGTAATCACTGAAGTTACTCAAAATTTTGCCTTTTAACGGATGAGCAGGAGTGAGGTTGACTACTTCGACCAAGTATCAGAAAAGTAGTGTATGATATGCGCGTTAAATGGAAAAAATCAACAATCAAAAGAATCCCAGGGGGGGAAGCGTTCCCCTTCCTCACGTTCGGACTCCCCAGCGTGTCTTCGTCACAGCGAAAGCTTGGGGAGAAAAGGTGTTGGTGGCAATTCAAAACAAATATGATCGAACACTTTAAAGTTGGAGTGAATTCACACGTACTTTGTTGATGTCCATCGCTCCACCGGTTCCGTCGACTTGATTGTGATTTTGTTCATATTTTCAACCAGAGTTGCGTCCTTCTTACTGACCAGCTAAATAATTGTACTAAAATAGAGCCAGAAAAGCCCTTCTATCGCCAACGTTTGCGGCATCAACGCAATTCTTTTTTCTTTGCCGTTTACTTGAACGAAGATCCAACGAAAACCAAGCGTACCTCTTTAATCTTCTCATCAGATTGTGCTTGCTGGAAGCGCTTCTCTTCCGTGGGATATTTTGGCGCCAAAACTTTCTCACCTTTCTCAATCTTCTCCATCTTTTTTATAGCTTTTTGTTGAAAACTTGCATCTTTCGTTCTCTTGCCAAATGCATTGAATATCCTCTTTATCATACCTATAAAAAACAAACCTTTTCAATTATCTCCCATCTTGATAACATTCCAAGTGTCCAGTCTTCCCTGAAGAAGGAAAACGGGTGAGAGGTGTTTCAAAAAGACAAACTTTAGCTTTTTCAGGAAAAATACTCGAAAACGTCGTGAAATTGAAGGTAACGCGTGCATTTGCAGGCTACACGTGAAGGTGCACGACTGACGCAAGGCAAACAGCTTCAGGATACAGCATGGGGATGTGCGAAATGGCGGTGTGAGTACGACCCCCCCCTCCCTCGAAGAGGGTCCAGTTACGACCCCCCCCTCCTGCTCTAACTGACAACCAGATGCATGTTCACACACAAATGGCTTCCTGAAATGGAATCTGGATTTCGAAAGGCGGACTCTGCTCTAAAATCCAGGCAATAAGAGGCTGAACAACAGCCTCGCATTACCTACAATTTTGTCTTAGGATTCAAAATAAAACTCGTCGTTCGACAACCATGTATGACATGCAACTTGTAACAAGGAACACAATCGAAACAGCGACTAATGGTGATCATTGATAAGCTAAATTGGTGAAAAAAATAGCCCGAGGTCAGTGTGTCAGGCCCCAGATGTGCATTCAATGGGCCCCAGATGTGCATTCAATGAATGGTGACGGGGAAATCATGAAAACATGCACGACACAACAAAGCGAAACATGAAAAATACAAAAAAATGCGGAGCCAAATGAAAAAAATGGATAACCAGGCGGCAGTATATCGTTCTATACTTGGCTATTATCGATCGCAACGTTGCGACCGCTTTCATTGGAAAAACGTCATTGGAGCGCGGTTGTTGGGCCTGCCAACGTCCTGGGGTCTTTTCGGGGGGTTATATCTCTTTGAGGGGCGCGGCTTTTGATGAATGGTTAGCAGCATGCAACGGGAATGTTCCTACTGTTGCGTTTTCTACCCAGTTGCAATCTGAATGTTTCCCCGTTCGTGAAATATTTCGGATGGGTTTCGGATCTAGGGGTAAATGGCAAGCGGGTTTTTATGCTTCACACGAGGATTACTTATTTCGAACGCAATTTCATCAGGACTAAAATCGTTAAAAACGCGCTACCCTCTGACCCACCCGAAAAATCGACTCCTTCTGTGCCATTGTGAGGATACACCTTCGGAAACTTCAGTGTGCCTTCAAAACACATATTTCCCTTCAAATGAGTGAAAGAGGAGCTCGGCTATCACTGATCGATTTGGTCCGAGTGTGCGCCGTGCATTACGCTCCTACGCAGAGGTGGTGGAAAGGTGTAAATTCTGATTTCAGGTGCTTTTATCCATGCAAGCAGATGTTTGTTTAGGGTTTGGAAAGGACAATACGCACGAATCTGTTTGAGACGTATTATTTAGTCATCTACGTACTTACGAGTTCATGCTATTAACTGATATTTATTTATTTATTTATTTATTTATTTATTCTGTGCTCATTGACGTCGCTAGCATGGGGCTGCTGTTCAGGGTACAGCACGTTGAGCGAAACCCATAGGGAGGGTAGTACTTTTCCGCTGGGGAGGGGGGGTCGTAATATCAAGGGTCACTCAGAGCCGGGCGATGCTTCGACATTTCAGTTGATAGTGGGAATGGAGCTACGCAAGTCAAGATGTTAAAAAAAATGAAAAACTAATTATCGAGTAACTTTACATATTTACAACTGCTACTTAACAGTCCCTCTTTCAATACGTGAAATCCCCAGACATAGGTTTCGTACTTGGCCGCGGGGGACGTGGGGAGTATCGCAAAAGTAGGCTCGCTAGGCATCAAACAGCACAAAAGTGTCATTGCTAAGTTTTATGGAACGGAAGGAAAGCTGCAGAAGACCCGGATATAAATAGGACCACAAATATTAAAAAATTTATTAGCAATATAGCAAATAGCGAGAA